GCTGAATTTCCATGCTCTGCCGAAACAGATAGACGGCGGATAGGCATGGCTTGAATATGCCTACCGCCAGTACTAAGTTAAAGCAGTTTTGTTCGTGAGCTGTGTTTTGAAATTGTCGTTGCAGTGCGACCAAAAGTTCCGGTCGGATTACGTAAGGCTCAGGGATGAAAATCATCCATTACATAGTACTAAGTATAAACATTCAGGACATAATCTAAACTGCAGCGGTTGAGTAAATTTCCTCGATGAGACAGATCACTGAAAACAAAACACGAGGTGCCATCGCAGTGATACGGTACAAGGAGTACCCGAGACTATCTGAAAGTATAATCTGGTGGTGACCGTGACGTGCTGAAGCTGATGGCCGCAAACCTCGGCGACACAGCAATGTACTGTAACTGTGAGTTGCGATTGGTATGGTGCAGAAGACACCATTTGCACTGCTGTAGATAGGATGCAACCGCAGTTTCCAACCAGACTCTAGTGAGGGCTGTGATTCAAAGAAGCCAACGAAAGGTCACCGGTCATGATTCGCCGGAGACAAAGAGTCCGAACTGAACAAGGTTGAAGCACCAGCAGTTGTGGGATCAGATGCAGAACACAATCTCATTGAGTTCTTCCCATATGTGATGGACAGGAAACACGTTGCAGGGTAACATCATGAGCGCCCAAGGGTTCAGAGGAAACGAGGGTATATATCAGGAGAACACGCTGGTTGATCCAGTAATCGAGGGACCTGGGCGCTTATCAGGGACACCGCCACTAAAGCATAAATATGGACCTACATTAACTTCTGGAAAACGCTGAATCAACTTCACAGAAAGGCAAGGAGGGACCAGGCCAACGTTATTCATGGACATTTTGCATTGTTCGAGTGGCCATTGTTACCTGGATTAGGTGAGTGCACCGTATCAGCGGCTGTGCCTAGCAGAGATGCCATCACTACTGACGACTTGATGAGATGTAAAGCATAAACGGTAGTAGGCTGCAGGTACGTGTAATCCTCCAGGCATGGATGAGTTGAATAATGGGCATTTGGTATGCTCGACAGCAGTGACCAATACGTTGGTCCAAGGTCCACGATCATCAGTGAAAATGAGTCTCAAACGCTAAATCGTACTCCGCTCTACCATTATACTGGCCCTGGAAACTAATCAGACAGCTACTAGTACAATCTTTACTCTGCCACGAGACTTCTAGTACGTCCAATCTCTCTATTCTCATCGACGTGCTCGACGTACTCCCAGTTGCCATCTATCTTACAAGACACTAAAACAATCTTTGTTGCACTTCGTCTTGCATTGCATCGCTATCAATCAGTCTTATTTTCTATTTCTATTGCTCTCTTGCAGTCGTTTTTTACTCGCTTTTTCTTTCACATTTTTTTCAGAGCACATCTGCCCTCTGCTATCCACTTTTTGTTCGCAATTCACAGTTTCCTCCTTTCATTCGTCCTTTGATCTCCCTCTCGTCGTAATTGTGCGCAATTTCCTATTGGTCGTTTCAGACTTGACTTACCTCTTGATTAATTCAGATATGTCTCGTATTGACTTTCACGACTTTAGCTATCCTCCTGGTGTGGCATACTCTCGTTCAGCCGCAGATATCGACCACCACATGTCCAACCATTATCCTTCCAATTCTCCTACTCATCCTGTGTCAGGAGATCGACGTACGTCCGGCGGATTAGGTGTCTATCTTCCCAACACGAGCAGTTCGGCATTAATACCCCACTCTATTGGTATTCACCCAGACAAGGAATACAGCAGTATTGGAATAATCCCAGAAGCATTTCAAGCTGCCCCAAATAGACACACATCTACCCAACACTTCTCATCTTCTAACCACCACCGTCCTCCCATCCCACACAGCAGCTCGCCCGCCGCTCTCTCTATAAACACCAATTACTACAACGCCCCCTCCGACGCTGAGCGTGAAGGGTACCTCCATCGCCAGTTTCAATCGTTTGCACCGTCCGGCGATCTCGCTCTGCCCGCCAACTCCAACTCCGGCCCAAACATACTACGCTCTACTCTCTGGTGGGGCGAACTCGAACCTTGGATGGATGAAGAATACGCAAAACAGGTTTGTGCTCTGATGGGTTGGGACCCAGTCACCGTCAAAGTTCCAAACCCCAGCCCAGACGCCGTCGCCCCTCAACCAACCAATAACTCTGGTTACTGCTATCTCACGTTCCCCTCACCAGCTATCGCTTCTTCTGTTCTCAACCAAGTGAACTGTGGCGGGAGTGCGCAGCCAGTCACAATGCCAAACTCAAATAAGCCCTTTGTCCTTAACTGGGCTTCTTCTGCTCCCACCGGTTCAATTGCGCCTTCTTTCCAAACAGCTGGTGTAATTGTCCCTACGGCACAACCACAGTTCCCGAAAGAGTACAGCATATTTGTTGGTGATCTTGCACCAGAAACTTCCAATTCAGACCTCGTGGCCGTGTTTCGGAACCCAGTGCTTGGTCTACGGAATGATCGTGAACCCAAGTTCATTCGGCCTTTCTTGAGCTGTAAGAGTGCCAAGATCATGCTCGATCCTGTAACTGGCATATCGCGAGGGTATGGGTTTGTACGGTGAGTCTGTCGTGCAACGAGACGAACAAACTCATAGTCCCCCCTTCGCACACAGATTTACCGAGGAAGCGGACCAACAGCGTGCACTGATAGAGATGCATGGCCTGTACTGCCTTTCACGCCCAAGTCAGTCATCTTCGTATCCTACTTCGGGCAAGTTAATAACGCGATTTTTTTTTGCAGTGCGAATATCTCCTGCCACGGCCAAATTCAAGCCGCCTCCTATGCCAACGGATCTTCCCCAAATTCAGTTTCCTGGTTCCCCTACTTCTGATCAGCGGACAAACCCAGTGACGGTAGCCCTCCCCCTTGGTGTTCAGCCAAGGAGCGTCTCTGCACCTATGGCAGCTTCGACGAGCGCCGGATCTTCGTCTTCATCTTCGTTGGCCAGCGTGCCCGTTGGTTCCTCCGCTTCGGGCTCAGCGTTGAGCGGTTCAAGCTCTATACCCTCCCTTGGATCTGAGGCCAGCACAACCGCGTCTTCAGGAGTCTTGTCTTCGATGTCGTCGGATGAGATGCTTGGTCTCTCCGCCAATGTCCTTGCCCTCGCCCACCAGTATGCCAACGGTGGCTCCATTAGTAACGCCAAAGGTATCGTTCCTTCTAGTTCGGCATATGACTCACAAGATCATTCCGTGGCACCGCGGTACATTATCTCTGAAGAGTCATGGAAACACCACGCCCAGGCCCGTGCTATCCTTGGCAACCTCATCGGGCCGAATGGCGAGCAGCTCACTTCTACCGACCCCTATAACACGACTGTTTTCGTCGGTGGGTTGTCGCCTTTGATTTCTGAAGAGACCTTGCGGACGTTCTTTACTCCGTTCGGCGAGATTCACTACGTGAGAGCATTCGCGCTATTGGTGGGACGCTAATGTAGCGGTATCTGTACAGGTGAAGGTGCCCGTCGGCAAACATTGTGGTTTTGTTCAGTTCGTTCGAAAGGCTGATGCAGAACGGGCTATCGAGAAGATGCAAGGCTTTCCTATCGGAGGGAGTAGAATTCGATTGAGCTGGGGTAGAAGTCAATGTGCGTCCTCGTATGTTGTGACACGCCCAACTGACTAATGGTGATATCATAGATAAAGCTGCGCAAGCTGCTGCGCAGGCAGCTCAGGCAGCCGCACTTCAGGCTCAATTCCAGGCTCAGATGTCATCTGCGCAGGGCCAGGCTCCTCAGAGTCAGATGACGCCAGAACAGGCGATTCAACTCTTGCAAAGGCTTGGTCTGTCAGGCCAAGGTCAATCGGGCGGTGGAAGTGATGCATCGAACCGCAATTACACCGACGCTGCAAAAGGCAGTGGATACTCTGAGGAAAAACTAAGGTCGCTCATCATGAACCAGCCACTCTCTGACAGTCAACTGCCGTACGATGTGTGTCCAGGGGGGTCCGGACCACGCCCACCATCAAACATGAGTTCTGTGGAACACCATAGATCACATCTCACGTCCTCGTTCTCTCCTTTCTCCCCGGACCCGAATATGTACACACGGAGAGGTTCAGACAGCTACGATCTGCTGCCCCATTCCATGAACCCGTCGCGCTATGATAACATCATAGAGTTCAAGGCTGCGACTGCCCATTCCAATGAGAGAGCCGTTCCTCCTGTACGTACACCAAGTGGGTCCCAGCGATATGTTCCGTTCCTGGATGGCTCTGCCAAGACGTTTGAGGGCGGGCGTTGCATAACGCGCCAAGAACCAATCTCTCGGCCGAACTCCAGTCAGACATCATCACAAGGACGCTCGAGCCAATACGATGTGCAGGAACACGATCCCATCCACGATCTCAATGGCACGCTTGCAAGCTTGGATCTCGACCAGCATAACACGCATCCGTCGTCGTCGTCGTCATCTTGAGCAGCGTGATTCAGAACGCTCCTCGCCTTCGCCACTGCGCCCTAATTCGAATCCCTTCTTTTTGATTTCGCTGCTCAATTTCATCTCCTTGTTTCGTTTTGTTTGTCCGTTTGCCTTGGACCACGACATACTATCACACTGGATCATGAGCTGGGTTATGCTCCTATTGTCGGTCACCCGTTATTTGCTCTCGAGATGTGCCTATTACGATTTGTTTCGATTCCCTCTGCTACCCTCTCCTCTTCCGTCTCCATCTGTGTTTGATCTGTCTTTATTACGCTTGAGTCTGTGAAAGAATGAAGTCTACATACATCCTGTCTAAAGTAGTACCAGCCAACAAATTTTATAGTAGTACCCACTTCAGTTACTACCTTTACCTGTTTGTTTTATACTGCTATACGCTTGGAAGTAATTGTCCTGGTAGGATCCTGCACGCATACGTTAAATCATTGAATATCATTAAGGCATACCAACCATCGTACAAAAGGGAGACAAAAGGAATTGAGTCATGAACAAATAGAGCTGATAAGATATCCGTGAAAATACATGGATAGATATAGAGCAACAAAATAGGAACCGTCCACTAGAGAATCAAAATAAGTAAAAGATTATACATCCGCGATACTGGCTAGAAGACCTGCACGACCTGTGCCGGAAAGGGACTCGCCCACTTCGTCACGCAGTGCAGACCCAGATGCCTCAGCATTATTGCTGGAGCCAAGTCTACCAACAACATCGCTTTGAAGTTGCATAGGAACGAAAACGACCTTAGTGTTACCAGACTTGGCCATCTGCTGCAGAGCCTCCAGCTGACGGATTTGCATGGCAGCTGGTGATGCGAGGATATCGGCTGCTTGGCGCATAAGGCGAGCAGAATCAACTTCTGCGCGGGCTGCAATGACCTTGGACTCTCCAATACGCTTCTGTTGCGCAGCAGAAGACAGAGAAGCGGAAACTTCGGGGCTGAAAATGATATCCTTGATCAGGATACCTTCAATGGCAACACCCCATTTATCGGCAACGTCACCGACAATCTCAGCAATCTCGAAGGCGATAGCCTCGCGCTCAGTTACGACACTTTGAACTGCGCGGGCACCGACAACGTGCCTCAAGGTGGTCTGAGCACGTTCGATAAGCGCCTGGCGTAGATCACTGATACCAAAGGCAGCACGATAAGGGTTAATAATCTGGAAGTAGATGACAGAGTCACTAGGGGATGGGTGCCGTAATGATCAATTGATGGATGCAATATATGAATATAAAATTAGCGCACATTTCGACATTAACATTGTCACGAGTGATGACGGTTTGCCTGCCAATGGCGCTAATTTGAATTTTGACATCGACAATACGCAAGTCTTCCGTGCAGACATTAACCTGTACGAGACCAGGGTCGACCGACTTGTAAAAGTGGCCAAACCTTGTGACCAGACCAACCGAACCTTGACACGGAATCCTAGTCAGAACATGATTTGAACATTGAAGAGTGCAGTGCATACCTTGTTGGACATTTCGGAATGGGTTTGGGAAAGGGCAGCAAGGAATGGCACCGCAGAACCCGACACAGGTGCCAAGACCTTGCAGGAATGACCCATAGAAGCCATGAGTGACCTATGCTGATATGAGAGAGATGTATCACATAAATGAGCAAACGTACCTCCCCAGTACCGAGGTCTTGTGCATACGAGGGCTAAACAAGTCCCGTCAGATATCATGACCTAGATTGCAAAAGTATGGTGTTATTGACCTGCATCTCACTGCGTTTCAAAGGCTGGACGTTGATCATGTGGTTCTTTCCAGCAGACTCTGGTCCATTCCTCCTGGATGCAAGCTCGTCTGTAACTTCAGACATGGTGAGAATGTGTTCAGCGCAACGGGCTGGAACAGACTCTCGACTTACCATGGGGGGCATTATGATCAACTACGTTCCCACGGGAAGAGCTGCCAGTGGGAGATGGCACACGGTCTTTACGATCTTGGTCGCTCGACATTATGTTACAGGTGAAAATGGCAAACTGTCGAGCGAGTTTTTAAAAGTTTTCAATAGGTGCGAGGTAGTAAAACAAGGCGTGGTTCTCACAGGATGTATTATAAGATCCGTTGCATTGCCGTTGCACAATTACTGAGTCAGGCCTAAAGTATGCTACGTCACAGTACTGTGCGATGACACTCCATAGTACTAGCTATCGGCCGCACGACGTAGAAAGGACAACAACGTCCCTCCTTTCGTGTAGGTTGGTCCGCAGTTCAAGCCGCATGACTTGCTGGACAGACACAGCCTTCAAGGTACATGTGGAAAATCTGCGCAGCAACGGTCCATGAGAGATTTCGCCTTTCCGTCGGAACTTCTATCAGGGCTGAATGTTAAATGAGCACAGCTCAACGATTACAGGAATTACCACCCGCCCTTGACCTACTATGGTGACTGCATGCTCAGGAAAGTGGCTCTTGTTGTTCGCTTGGCTTTGTTGGCAAGAAACGACTGAGTTTGAATTTATCGGCTTGAGTGTGCCATCCGAGCACTACGAAGACTAACATACTTTTAAAAAGCCTCTGAATTTCTAGCTAGCCCATGACAAGTACAGACAGAAAATATTGGCTTATGAAAGCCGAGCCAGATTCGCGTGTAGTGAAGGGCAAAGATGTCAAGGTGTGTGTGTTTTGTTCCAAGAGGCGTTCCATAAACGCGAGAGCTCAATATACAGCTCGGTGTATTGCGCGTGCTATAGTTCAGTGTGGATGATTTTGAAGCTGCAAGGGCGACGCCGTGGGAAGGGGTGCGGAACTTCGAAGCACGTAACTTGATGAAGGAAATGTCCATTGGAGACAAGGTGCGTATCCCCTGACCTCAATTTGACATTTCATCAAGCTCGTCAGAAAGATATTATTCTATCATTCCAATTGTAAAAGCCCTGGTCAGTTAGTGATCGTCCTTATGAATTTTACCTTAACGTGTATACAGGCATCGCTGGGTTTGCTGAGGTTTGCTGTCCAGTTCTTTGCTTGCCCTCCATACTCATTCCTTCTCATAGGTGTCGAAGGAAGCGTATCCCGATTGTACGTCCTGGAGATATAAATATCCAAAACATCTTTCTCATAGGCTTGTACTTATCTTATAGACACGGCATGGGATAGGTTCGATTCGACATAATTTTACCAAGCATTTACCACATTGACGTTACTGTTCTTCAGCTCTCACCCCTACTTCGATCCGGTAAATTTGATACAGATTATATTCGTGCGCCCTATTGAGCCGTAGCCTCGGATATTCTATTAGAAAACTAAACAAGATGATCCGAAGTGGTTTATGATAGATGCTACATTCCTATCTCGCGCTGAACATTTTGTCCCGCTGTCTCTTCTCCGTCACATCGCAGAATCGGCGAAATCGGACCCACCAGATGAAATTGCGTATATAGGCACGGATGGAATGAAAGCTGTGAAAGGTACCGAGACTTCTGATTTCGCTCAACTGCCCAACAATGACTCGCTACCATGTGTTTCTCTATAGCGATGCCCCTTGTCACACGCGGACGTTTGAGCGTTCAACGGGTCAGTCAGGAATGTTGGGGGATCATCCAGATGATGTCAGAAAAAGGTGGTTGGGAGGAAATGACATTCGGGAAGAAAAAACCGAGTACATCAACACGCCCAAGACAGCCTGCCACAAAGAATTCTAGGGCGAAAACAAATTCAACGAACAACGACGGCGGTGGCAGCGAAGTTGAGGGGAAAGTCGATGCGAGTGAAGAGCCCGACATAAAACCAAAGAAAGGCAAGAAAAGGAAGGCATCTGATGTCGATACTGGAACTCAGAAGGTCACGGTACCTCACCGACGCTCCGTTCGGACTAAGAAGGAGGATTGACATATCTCTACGATTATGCTGTACTTGTCACTGATCCTTACATTCGGTGGATCAGCTGCGGGCACAGCAAGGTACACTCCTTTCACAATATTAATTGTATTGATTGCCTTGTTGGCGCACTAGGCGCGCCATTTATGCTATTCATTTAGGTCGTTTGCATGACTATTCCTACTATTCCTTGTCTATGTTCCGGAACAGGATAGAACGGCAACTCGTGATCAGATACAGAATGCTAAGGCTATCCGCCACAGCTTTGCCATTATCGATTGATCTGCCGTATTTACCACGGACGATGTACTCCCGCCTCCTAGCTGGTGCATGCTCGCTAGCCTGTTGGGGAAACAGCATACACACAATATCCAATGTGTCATTCCCAATGTCATGTACAAGGACGAGTATGTAACTTTCTCATCACGCCAGAGTGGGAAGAGTCCGCTTATCAAATCCTACATAATAGAACGCACCAGATACTCTAGATAGTAGTCCCGACATATATGGAATGCGGGCGAGACTCGGCGCTGGATCCGACGTGTACATTATTTGAGAACATCAATTGATATCTACGGAAGGACAAGGCCGACCGGTGTGGGCGTTGCTCAAAGATTACAACAAGGATTGACTGTAAAGGATCTTTTGTATTGACCTTCTTTGTAGCCTGAGCATGACACTGAACTCTAACTATTACGTCCTGTTTCTTGATCAAGTATCACGCTGATGCACTCTAACACCTCGTTCCACTTAGACTGTCGCACATTGAAGGTTTCAACACTTTACCTCTTACAAGATTTTAATCAAAAGCAGATCTAAACCTGGCTAGAGTGTTCCAGAGCACCCTAGAGTACCTTTCGAATGTAATTTCACTGGCGGCAAAAGGTGGTAAAATGTCACTTTCCCCGCCGTGTCGTATATTTCGGTCGAGACACCAGGATATCCCGAGCTCGACTTTGATCTTTTTCACACATGGTAAACTCGCCACAAACACGACCGCAACTTGTCATGGTTATTCGACCGGAGAGCATTCGACACAAAAGTTGGTGATATTTGCGTTGCAAACCCCACCTATCAGTTTTTCAGTCATAAGTGGATTTACATTCATAGCGTCGAATACCAAACCAAGCTTCGTAAGATCGGGGTGTGATGACGGTAAGGCCACACGGCCACGGAAATATTGGGTCGTGTCTGCCAGAGATTTTATCGTCAATCAATGACATGCAAACAGATTACAAAGCTCTTGGAACTCTGGAGACTGAAGAAGTGCGTGAGGGGATCGAATGTATCGAAGCTGAACGCATAAGCGACATCGTCTGACGTCTCAGGGTCCGTTCAGTTTGATACACTCTAGACCATCCGAACGTAGAAGATTGTCCCACTTGCGTAGGATGTCGTCCGACAAGAAGAACAGTTTCAGGTTCTCAGAACCACAGCTCCAGCGATTTGCATTGAACAACACAACCTTCTACAATTTCTCTGTCGGAGATCAAAGAGACTAATGATTGGATGACTAATTTGCCGAGGCCAAAGGTACGAAATTGAAGCTCGCCGCCGTCCAGACGTTCCGTGATAGTGAATTCCAGTCGTCGGAGGCCAACAAGGCAAGCGTTACCATCCGCAGCTAAGAGGAAGAGGTTCGCTAACGTGAGGAAGCACGATAGGTAGTACGATGTCGTCCAGTTGTGGTGAATGCTTGACGAGGTCAGGGTCCAGAAGAGAACGCATACTTACATGAATGGACACCACGAGGACATGTTCTACAGGAGAGCGCTTAGAGGTCTGGCATTGACAGCTTCGACCGTGAAGAAAAGTCCATTATGGCATGAATAAATTTCGCATCTATACATCCAAAAACATCTGAATGTCCCAGAACGTGCACCCGGAATGCGTGTTGCTCAAAGTTGGCTCAAAGACTGACCAATCATCCGTGATTACAGGCCTTCATATGATCTGACAGTGATACCAATGAAAACACTGATCGCAGTCGAAACACCGGTAGGACTTGCACATACATTTTGATCCAGAAATCTTGGTTCATGAATCTTGTGAAAGACAAATGAAAAGCGGTCCCAGATTCTCTAGCTCAGCCTAGAGCACATCCAAAACTATATCTTTGAATATGCGGCAGACTTGCAGAGAACAGCTAAAGAACTTCGTGACCCTCCTTGGTTAGGTTGAGGGAAGCGATCCCAATGACACGAACTAGAGTTTATGAAGATACTTTAAACGTCAAAGAAGATGTGTAGAATCTCTGGAATGAGTAGGCAGGCGTTCATCATGAGAATGGGTACTTGATTTAGCATCAAACAAGGTAAAACTCACGAACATGTAGATGGAACAGTTGTTGGTGCACAGACTTGCTCGGCAAAGTGAATAATCATCGAGTGGCTTTCCTAGTAGCCTTGCAACACTCTTCTCTTCCATGGACTGTATGTCAGACTGGTTCGACTAGTGGTAGGCACGAACCTGCTTTATCGTGCTTTCTCCTTCGCTTAAACAGATCCCTTGGCTGCTTGTTCCAGTCGTCGCGTGCCAACATCTTGATATGTATGTCTGTTCAACGTGGAAGTTCAGGGAAGACCATAAGTCCCGTCACAATCACAGGTCATTCAGATTGACTACGTGTCTTTGAACATCTACAAAGGATTTAAATATCGCAATTACCGCCTTGATGCGAAATATTATTTGCGGATCCACCTAACTTAAATTATAAGCCTCAGTTCGTGAAGCTGCAGCGCAGCAATGCTGCCAAGGGCTTGAACATCAAGTACATTGTAAAAAGAGTTAAAAATTGAATGCCGAGTTGATTTCGGTAGGGAAAAGATATTTATTTCACACTCCGTTGGGTGATGAGTACTTGAGTTTGGGTCGAAAAGGACCAAAGTCAACATATGGCTGGTTTTCCCATCTGAGCTGTCACAAGCACTTTTACCGCGTGCACGTCCGCTGGCTATACAGCGTGCGTTGCGTCGCGTTTTTATTGATTTCTCAAGTGATTAATCATCTAGAGTCTATACCGCGATTCTTCATGTCTTTTCTTGCTCTTCTCATCAAACCTTTGGCTTATATCTCTGTTCCTGTTATCGTACTTCGGACAATCGCCTCAGCTTCTCCCGTTGGGCGTTATTATGCTCAACTCACTATTTACCTTGGGACGCTGGCAGTAGTCTCGACATGGGGAGTCTTTGTTGCAGTCGGAATGACGTTGGTGGGTCGCAGGCATGATGTCAACTATGTCGTGGCCCGGTCGTTCTATGCCATTGCTAGTCGTGTTTTGGATATCCGAGTAGAGGTCGAGGGCGAGGAGCATCTTCAGACATGCCCTGTGGTCATGGTGGGTAATCACCAGAGTATGCTTGATATTTTGTATTTGGGAAGGTATGTGTCATTTGCTAAAGAAGCTTATGATGAGTGGTGTGTAACTGACATGGTTCATATTTTGTTCCGCATCGTGCTTGTAGGATGTTCCCCAGGAAGGCGTCCATTATGGCTAAGAAGGAGCTCCAATGGTCACCTCTGGGTCCCTGGATGTTCATGTCGGGTGCTGTGTTTGTAGATCGTGGAAATAGTGCAAGGGCACACGGATCACTCGCAGCTGCTGGAGATGAGATGAAAGCGAAGGGCATCTCGTTGATGATGTATCCTGAGGGCACGCGGCACTGCCAAGAAGTACCGTCGTTACTGCCTTTCAAGAAGGGTGCTTTCCACCTCGCTGTCGAAGCTGGAATACCCGTTATACCTGTTGTTTGTGAGAATTACTGGAGAATTTATCGCAAGGGTGTGTTCGGATCAGGCACGATCAGGGTCCGAGGTCAGTAGGCAATTCTTGACTCGTTTCAATCTATGGCCGCTTAATTTCACTGATATTTTACAGTTCTCCCACCAATTTCAACCGCAGGACTCTCTGCATCGGATGTCCCTGAATTGACGACGCTAGTCCGAGATCAGATGTTGGCAGCTTTACGTGAAATCTCCGTCAGGGTCACCTCAGAAGAAGACATGGAACCGGCCGAACAGCCAGAAATGCAAGCTGAATTGCCACCTGTCGAAGAATCGGATCCCATACCGGCTACCCCTGTCGAGGTTGCATCCGATGAAGTTCCGGATGTGCCAAGCGACGAGGAAGGCAGTGAGACTCCGAGCGTTGACACCTCGTTGTCTCGATCGTTGAGGCAAGAAGGAAGCGCCAGCGAATATGGAACGGAGACGGACGATGAGGGGATGGTAGTTGTCGGCAGACAGCACCACTAGTTGAATAAATGACGTGGCAACATAGGTAATATTGCTGGGTTCTGGAATACTTCCAGTGCATGATACCATTCTTGACTCCATTATATAAATGTTTATAATATGTGGGGATTTCGGACCGACTCTGATATACCAATGGATGTAGTATGGTTTCGTGACTTTAACCCCACAAAGACCACGGGTTTCCCCGCATTTCTTATAGGGTTTACCGCGCCCTTTTCGCACAAGCGCCGATTACCTAAAAGGTAAAAAGAAGATTTCTCGTCGCGTCACACTCTTGGTCATCCTTGCCAGAAGTTGAACGTTGAACGTTGAACGTTTGAACCCCCTTTGTTTGATACCTGATGTATGCATTTTGCAATGCCTGCAAGTTTGGTGTTGTGATAGTTACTATATCCCGAAAATTCTTGTTTCGGGTTGGTCTGGTTACTTTGAATTCTATAACGTCAGCTCGAGCGGTGCGAAATTTTGAAATAATTATTCAAGTCCTTCTCTTATTCGCCGACTTTCGTTCGGGTAACGTTTGTTTCCCAGCTGCCACTCATAAGAGTACTAGTGTTTGGGTTTGCTATTTAAAACAGTTGCCTTCAATACCGCTCTCCTTAAAGTCCTTTCCTCTCTTACCTCTTGAACTTCCTTAATACCCCATCTCTAGTACTTGCGTGTAGTTCAAACATGACCGCAACTCAAGTCCTACCAGGTAATGGCATTCACCACGTTCATTATAACGGAGCCGGATTGACAATAATGTTTCAGAATGCTGGGGTCACCGAGGAGTGAGTCAAATAATTGAATCATGGGCAACACCACTAATAAGCTATCGCAAGGCTTCAGCAGCTTTCCCAGAGAACACACTCGCTAGCTTTGAAGCCGCCATCAACGATGGGGCAGAAGGCATCGAGAGCGGTATTTAATAACCCTGGCCTGTGTTGGTCTCCATAACCTGTATCCCAGACGTTCATGTGTCGTTGGACGGGGTCGTCATAATGTTCCATGACCCGGGTATGTTGAATATTTCACTCTTTTTTCCAATTCGCCCATCCGATGCTGCGTGCGTTCTACAGATCTGGAGAGGACCACAGGATCAAAAGGTTGTCAGCTTCCAATCTAAGGCACGTTCGTGAGCTGACCAATGAATGTAGGCTTAATCAGGGACCGGCATTGGTACGGCAAAGATGGAATGGAACGCATCCGTACTATCAAGCAACCTCAACAATGTATCCCCACGTTCGCGCAGACCATCGCTCTTTTGATGAAAGTAAGTCCCCTTATATCCACGGCGTCCATGCGTTCATCATCCAATCGTTTCGCCCACGTTCTTTGTAGCCCGAGAACCAACATGTCAAGTTTAACGTTGACGTCAAAGTTCAGAATGATCCTGACCGCCTCTTCTCGCTTATGCATGATGTTATCTCAACGCAGCCTGATTGGCAGACGAAGTTGGCTCCCCGTATTCTGCTGGGCCTTTGGCATCCGCGTTTCGTGGCTTTTGCGAAAGCGAGATTACAATATTGTAGACGCTCACACATTGGTGTGAGCCTTTCGATTGCACGGAAATATTTCTGGGATGGGGTGGAGGTTTTTTCGATGGCGTTCGCCTCTCTAACCACCTATGATGGCCAGAAGTGAGTTTCATTCTTGTATCTGAGTGACGGTCCCGTGACAGTACCAAAGGTTCCGGAATGAGTGCAAGGCTGCGGGTAAGAAGATTATGGTATGGACAGTAAATGAGCCGGAGCACATGATGGAGGTCGGTGGCTTTACTTCTACACTGCCACCTCTAGTCTCAAGTTAGGACAGGCTGTACGATGGGGCATTGATGTCATTCTTACGGACGTGACGAAGAAGTGGCTCGAATTGCGTGCCGCTCTTCAAGGTGAGGAACTCATTTACGTGGCGTGGACAATTATTCAGCATGCTATTAGTCAATTACGACTCTATCCTGTCTCAGCACAGCCGGTGGTTCCTCTGGACGACCTGGAAGTTTTATCTGCCCTCTATTTTGGCAAATAGAGCCGCAAGACTGTACCTTGAAGGTGCTGCAGGTCCATTTGACAATTTTGCACCACCCGAGACGTCTGTGACTGTAGTAGCATGATCAACGGGATCTTGGAGAAGTGATTGCATTATGATTTACCATTGACCATTTTCTAGATGTTGACGAGCCTTAATATTTTGATTACACGTCCATTACTTATTACTTGAGCTGGAGGGTATAGAAGCAGATGCCATGATTGCACGATTATGTAATTTGATCGATTGGCGTAAGTTTGCGACATGCTTGGTCACGTCAGATGATATCCTTATGTCAATCGTGACTCCACGGGCCGTATTGAAAATCTACATGTGGCAGAGAGACGGTTGCGCCAATTGCGCTGACTCATTGCTATACTTGCCCCTCTGTTCTGATTCTACTTCTCACCCAGCTCCATCAGGCGCTTGTTTGCGTGTCTCTATGCTATTTATCATTCAAATCACCCGGTAGTCATGAACTCATCAAACCACCACCATCAATCTCGCAGAACGCACAGAAAGCGTTCCTCAGTTTCAAGACTGTCATACGACACAGTACAGACTCTCCCAGAGTACTCAGCTCCGCTCAATCTGAGTAAACCATCCAATTCAGTGTTCTTCGCGGGAAACGAGTTTGATAGACCGCCTGACTACCCTGATAGCCAGGAGGAGGCAGACGCAGACACGGAGGAAGAGGCTGTGGCCTACGCTCCACAACGTTTTCAGCTCATTCCGCCCCGACGCACGGCACTGCACACACGCAGACGCAAACGCCAGTCATTTTCTGTGTCAACCGTCGACCCATCCCTCGACGCGCTGCTTGAGCGCAGTGTGCATGCACTTGAGATGTCAAATGCGCTCATGCAGAGCTCAATCTCCACTCAATGCAGTCTTTCGACGTTGCTCTCATCCGAGGTCGGGCCGGATCCGTTCTCTCGAAGTTCGTGCGAGGAACCTCTCAACGCGAATCAGATTGAACAGCGGTGTGCATGGGACATGGATGACACATCTGGATGAGATATCGAAAGCTGTGGATAGGTTGTTTGACGAGGAGGTTATAGACATCAGTCCGGTCAAGCCGAACGAAGCTGCGATTAGTCAGAGTCTCCCCATATCAAATATGAGGGATTTGCGGTACAGGAGAAGGCCGTCACTATTGGAGCTCAACGGCTCATGCTCAAGCGCTTCACAGCTTCAATTTTCGCTCCCGAAACGTGATTTGCTCGTTGCGCCTGCTCCTAGGGCATTCACCCAGTATGTCGAATCAACAGCTGATCCAGGCATGATAATGCTGCCATCCACCCTGGGGTTACGGGCCTCTGCTTCATCGCGCTCGGCCGATTGGCAGGATCACAGCTTTGTCGCACAGCACGAGCTACAGTCCTCACAGTCATTACCTGTACTATTGGGACAGCCTCAGGATGTTCCCACCCCAGCATACAATCTCCTTTCCAATATAGTGAAGCGTTCAGAGTCAGCCACACCTCCACCAACTGATCCATCGTCCTCTCGTGCCTTCATATCACGATGTGGTTCAACGAGCACATGCACTGAACGCGGATCGAAGCTGTCTATGTCCTCTTGCTCAGTACGTAGGAAACAAATGTCTCCTGATCGCAATCGCAAGCCAGAGTGTGCATCCCTATCTTGCTCCACGACGCCTAGACAATCCGTAGCTCCTCTTTCCCGCATAATGACCCCACCCATCGAGGAGCTTTCTACTTCTTCATCTGATTCATCAGACCACCCTACTGGCTACCGCACCGTCCAATCCCTCCGCAAAATCCTTGATGAACAATCATCCTCCACCTCCATCAACTCTCCCCCTCGAAAAGATCCCAAAAAAAGTCGATCGCCCAATTTCATGCCTGTTACTCCCACCCCCGCCCCGGTTGCTGGCACGTCCACTGCCACTGCCTCTATATCCCGTCTCTTCACGAAAGGCAGACATTCATCATCTACGCGACCCCCTTCCCCACCTACACATTCCTCCCTGAAAGTGCCGTCTGTGCCTCCGACACCTCGTTCATCGCCAAGTGCAGGCAGCCTCTCAGAAATGTTTGGAAACGGGGTGGCCAAAGTTCTCGGGAGTGATTGTCCCTCAGGCGTGTCGACGCCCAAGCGCATCAGTTTTGCGGAGCTCCCAGAGTCATATGCAAGCTCACGTGCAGGGTCTTCGAAAATCTCGGAGAAGCGGAAGAACCGAAGCAGAAAACGCAAGGGGAAATATGAAGAAGAGGGTGAGACACTTGGGTGGTTTGGGAGGTTGTTCACTGTGGGGCCTGTGAGCTCGAGCTCTGCACGGATCGATGATCATATGGAGGAACGCATGTCACGAGGGTGGGGAAGTCGACCTGGTGGTGGGACGTTAGATGATTGGGCGGTATAGAGTTGATATCGGCAAGAATTGGAGGGATAAGTTATGGAGCGTGTATGAATATGTCTTTATCACCTTTTATCTACTTTTAGGTATCATGACGACGCTTTCTGACTCTGTTTGTATTGCTACGTATATTTTTGACGTGTACACTGACCTTACTTATATTGTTTGGCGGTGTTCACATCCGAGTCTATGCATGTGGCCTCGAGTAACTGTATCCTTGAACCGTCTCGATATGACACTGACTAAAGTGGTCCATCATAAGAAAAGCTGGCATAGAGCATAACAAAAGAATACATAAGGCATATAGTAGCGCAAACTGTCATATAGTTCGTATCTGCAGTCCAACGAGAAAGGTAACGTACCCCAATTCCCAACCCCACACCACTGATGGATAGTCGCCCCGAATCGCTACAAGAGGGCCCGTCCGTAGGTGACGACAAGGCCACCGATAATCCCAGCAAATGCCATCTGAAGAAACCCATAACCGGCTGATCGCAAGGTCTCTTGACCCGCCAGCCCACTAGGAATGCTGTACATCGACTGGTCAAAGGTCGCGTTGCGCATCACCGGCTGATCTATAGTTTTGCAGAACGGTACGTGCTGCATGACTGGAGCTACTGCGCTAGTTTCTGAGTCGCTGAAGTCTGCTGTCATGCCTTGGGCGAAGGCACCCGGCATGTGTTGGGAATGTACTGCGTACTTGAGGTCTTCCTCACGATCGCTGAGAATGACCCACACCGTCTCTTGTGATTTCTCACGCGGGATCTTGGCGAGGTGTGCAGGAGGGGCTTCCATCACACTGAAAAGTTTCCCCTCACGTTGTGCAGTGCGTTTGACTTTTGGAATGTCTTGACGTGGGACGCGGTACACGCTGTACAGTGGCGTGCCTGCACGGAGGGCCGTGTTAAGGCTTACGTCGGTGATAGGTGACTGCGAGAACGAGGACCATTGGCGGGGAGGCGGCGAATGAGAGTAATCCGATATGTAGGTGTCATCCTGCGGCTCGGGGGATTCCTCCTTGATAGAAAAGTTGGGATAGTAGTATAGAGGATCTGAGCTATCGGCCCAGTCGTCATCTGGATAGTCAGGACTAGGAGAATGCTCCATAGTTGAGGGCGAAATGTTTTCCTTTCCTGACCCATCATCGGACAGAGGTTCCGTAGGTGTGAGAGACACGTCGCGGTGAGCCTGCTCGTATCGTCTCTCGTGGGGTGGCGAGACCCAATTAGGGTTTCGCCAGTGCCAGCGGTCGCCAGGTGGAACCTGGAAGCCGTGGAACTCATATGTAGGTGGGGGTGTGTCTGGGGTTGAAAAAAGGTGCGATTTACGCTCAGCAGACCCAGGGCAGACGACCATGTTGTTCTTCCGCGTATGGCCCGCCATGGTCGACCCGCACTTGTGACACATCGGACGCTTCCTTTGCGATGTTCTCTGGGCAAAAACCATTGCTGTACGGCGTGTTCTTGAGTGAAGATTGTTCTTCTGTTCATCATGTCGAGTATGAAATAGAACGGAAGGCGGTTGCAATAGATGCAGGTAGGTCCGACCATAATGAGAATGTTGGATAGACGCCAAGATGGTACATGACTCACCGGCTGCTGTGTGATTGTTTTGTTGGCAGCGGGGTACTACAGTCCCACTCCTGAGCTTATAAAAGTTCGCCCAGTGGCGCGCCTTGCATGACATGACGTTTTGGCGGTGGTTCGCAGAACAAGTCCTTGGATTCAGCATGAAGGTCGCGCTGGAGACAAGAGTAGAAGTTCACCGGCAGATGGCAACCTGCAGAAGTGTCTTCGTTTAATCTGTTCAAATGTACAAGAAGTCCTTGTACTTTTTCATGGACGCCACAAAATACATACCCAGAAAATACAAGACGTTTACCAACCTCACCATATCGACGAAATTGTAATGTTCGGATGTTGTATTCTTGGTTGTTGATCGGGAGAGCACCTCAATGGTGATTGCAAGAATACAAAATACGGATCATATCTAAATAACAAACATTCTGAGCAAAAACTGTTGCTGTATGCAAATGGACGCAATGGACCTCAGGGCGCAGATATTGCGACTACACGTTTCCCATCTGTCCTCCCGATGTATCTCGACTGACAAAACTCGTATGGGCGCCTCCGAGGTAGACGACTGGTTATAAGGTTCTGCTCCTTGATGACTTGATATGGATCTCCCTGCCTAGGAGTCTGAGCTGCAGCCGCGACATCCTAACGAACAGAGGTCAGTCGCAAACGAAAAACAAAAATTAAACCACTTACCACAATGTACGCATTCGACAACCGTACCTGACCGTACCTGTGCTTTCGGCACGCGACAGATACATGTAGAGCCTTGGTAGTTCATATCCTGGAAAAATGAGTGAGTAATGTCTCAGCGAATTGAAAGGTGAACAATACCTTGGTCTGGATACATCTGAGGCAGCACAACTTTTCATAACCTGTCTTCTTCCATTTGGCTATCAAGCTGAAGCAATTGACGTTTAGTATACGCTAGACTTTGGAGACAACCAATTGACTTACTTCGCATCTGCGTATCCCTCCTTTAAAAGCCAGTCGTAAAGTTCTTTCGTGATAGCTTCACGCTTATAATAGAGCTCATAGATGTAACGCGATCGTGTATGTGAGATACGCATGATGGGCCAGAGGGACTCGGCCTTGCGTTTGCCCTCATGAGACTCGTTCTCAGCGTCTCTCATCTTCTTCGCATAATCATCGAGAATCTACTGACATTGTCAGAATTGGAAGAGCCTGCTGATTATCATTACCCACGCTTTCAATATCTTCGTAGCCTTCTGGGGGCTTCTTCGTCCTCGTTGTGCGTATTCTGGGCATCGTTAATGACGAGGAGGTGAGAGCGACCCGTGAGAACTTTTCTTCGACACCAATTTCTGACAAAGCTTACCATTTAGGGTCTTTTGTTCTTGTCCTGACTCGTCGACATTGTACGTCTGTGGCTACGTCTTGTTACCTTTCTGGCGTCGGTAGCCCCTACGAAACTATGATATCGCGTATCTCGTGTCAAAAGAAGTCTTCTCTTCAATCATTCTTCCGTGATCTAGGTCTATTCATGGCATAAAGACTCGTAAAAGGCGAGCTACTTGTATCCCCTTGTAGTCATGACATGTAAGTAAGTATCATTGCTGATTATGCGTCGCCCATTGGCATGCAGAGTGAGTGCTTACATTCTATGTAATAGCTTATCTCTGACCGATGAATCGAGTCTCATTATCTGGACCTTAGGTTGGCAAAGGTGCTCTTTTCGTCACTTGTCATGATGAATCTTAGATTATCCTTGTTGTAGAAACGCGATCCTTCCAATAGCCGAGTATCGCATTTGCTCAGTCCTGAAAGCACGGGGATCACGAATGCGGTGAGCACAGACTCCATCTATCGGTTAGACTCATTACCAATGTTGTCACGCGTGTCTATCCACGGGCCCCCCGCAAATAACGTCCGATATCAAACAGATATCAAGGTTCTTGTATCTAAACCTTCTGAACACAAGTAATTATAGTCCGAGTTTCACCGAAACCGGTATCACTGCATCATTTTTCGCTACCTTCTAATCCGCTGTTCGATAGAACAAGACCACTAGGCTAGCAAGCTGTCCCTTGAAAGTACTCAAAGCGGTGCCCTATGCTCCGAGTCTGATCTCCTGGGTTCGCTTGGATGCTGGCCACCCACATTGCGCATTCACTACAGCTGCTTCAGTGGAAAGTATGTTCAGCATTTCTTTCGGAGCACAGATGGTCGGCTCCAATTTGGTCTCGGTCTTCTCGTTCTTTTACTCGGTTGCGAACAGGATGATACTATTTACGATCGAAGACGACGTAGCGAGCGAGCGCTTTTATCAACTGCACTTCACATTGGCCGACTTGGGCGTGCCCGTACTTGCACAGATGTATCACTTGATGTTCTGGCTACCTAGCCTATAACGTTCACGTTCCCCACGACTTCGCGGCGTGTTCGTATACTTTCGTAGTTCTCTTATTATGGCTTGCTGCGAGGCCATGGAACATACTGTGTGATCTGACGAATGCATGCGCTTTAGATGGCTTCTGGACCTTGTCACGCACACAAAAATGAAAATTAGTACCGGACAGAGATGATCAGCTGCCTCGTTTATAACTGGCACTAGTACTCGCCGTTACACCGTTCCGTTGGTTATGTAAGGCGGTGCTAGACACGATGGGTGTGGGAGGCGCGTCCATGTTGCGTCCATGAATGCACAAGGTTACTTCAACAACGTCGACCACTACATCCATCAGGCAGCGCAGCAAACCCACCCCGACCTAGTTTTAGGATTTTTCTGCTCTACTTTCTGACGCGCCTTGCGTCTTAGACATATCTGTTGGGTACTTTTTCGGCTCTGCTTTCAACATGCCACTCGTCGTTCCTGCTCTCCGTTTGTTCATGGTTTTTATGAATGTGTATGACACGTACAAGACTCTCAAAATACCACCTGGACGCAAGGGTGGTCCCCCTAGCATCAAGGCAATGACTCAGAGAAAGAGGGACCTCAAAGGGTGTCTCGCAGTTTGGGTTGTTTGGGTAAGGCATTGCTAGTATGTTGTTCGTAGCCTACGTAGCATGCTCACGCTGTCGTGCTGTAGTGCTGTCTTGCAGCATATGAGAGAACGTTTGACCGTTTTGTCAGCTTTATTATACCATTCTACAGTGAAATCAAGTCAGTTACACTACTGTTTCTCCTGCTGACCCGTGCTAAGGTAGGACGTCAATAACTTCTCCATACGAGCGAAGCTAACGCCTTATTCACGCAGGGAGCTGAACCTCTGTATTTGCATATTCTGCGCCCACTTATCAAACCATATGTGGACACCCTGGACCCATTGCTTGATCTAGCAAGGGACATTGGAGATTTTCTGTTTGCTCTCTCACAAGTACCGCTCAATTATGTACTCTCTCTATGCTCGGGTCTTCCTTGGCACACAGAAGAAAATGAGTCAGCCGCCGACCTCACAGAAAACACCCCCGAGTTGAGCACGACACGCTCTAGCAGTGACTCGAATGTACCTATTGTGACTAAAATACACGCTACTGTGGATTCAGATCCCCGGGTCGCGGCAAAGCGCTCAGTCGCTGTCCGCAGTGTCTCCAATAATAGGGTGCGACCGAAGTCCCGTCAACCTCCCGTTGATTCCTATGAGAGCATGTCGCTCCGCATGCGACATTCCAAGTCGTCCTCAATCACAACCCTCCCACACTATCCCAACGATACAGTTGGTCGTATTCATGCGCGTCCCACAACAAGCAATACTAGAACAGCTGCATACGAGATTTGGTGTCCCCCGCCGCCTGCGTACGAAGAGGAACACAGACGAAGCCGTTCGTCTATTGGACGGTCGGAAATAGCCAATGTATCCACTCCCAATTTGGCGACCCCTCCACCTACAGTTATCGTCAGCGAACCAGTTGACGAAGACTGGAGAGGGTACCCACCTTTTCCTTCGGCATACCCACCGACGCCCTTGACTGTATCTCATTCTCTTTCTGGAGCCATGCCATCCGAACGAGATAATTCGATCCACTCACCTTCTACCCAGACCACTGCAGTTTCGCCCATTTCGGAGAATACATTGATGGACCGTAACCAGGTCTTTGATGTATCGCTCCAGCAAGCGCATGAGCCCGCGAGCCCTGGTTCTCGCAGCTTACAAGTTCACCCTAGTATAGATGGGTCCCAATCATCCGGCGGTGCAGGCAACCTGGATGAGGATGAGGATGCGTATAGAGATGACGACGATGACGATTTTAATGTCACTTTACGGACTCCTTATCGCTCATTCCCGTCGTCAGTTGCATCGAACGCGTCTTCCTCTGTGGCGAGCCTTCCAAGTGCTTTGACCACTAACGATAACGAGTCGTCCCTGCGTACCAGCAGCTCATCGGAGTCCACTCGTTCCTTTCATACATCTGATTCGTCGCATTACGCAGGACAAAAACGCCCATACCCGACTGTTACCACGACAAGTCGAGCTGCAGCTGTCGGCACTATACCCAAGAATGCTGCCATGCGTGGCAAGGCTACTACTACTGCCCCGTCTTACGGAAACGACCTTGACTCTGACCCCAGCGAAACTGATGATGACATTGATAGCAGTGATGGTGAAGATAGTGCAGCCAAGAGGAGAAAAGTTCTTGAGCCTACACGGCGAACCACATATCTGCGTCCTACTGCCAAGCCCACTACAAACGTCCGCAAGCCTTCATTGACTGCCAGAAACTTCCCGGCATCCTCCCGCGGGAAAGTTAGTGCTCCTGCACCCAAAACTGGTACTCGCGGTGGTTCACGTACTGCACCCCAGACGGTAGGAGTAGCTTCCCGTGGAGATACCTTGCGCGGACAGACACGAAGAAGCACATCAAAATTGCCGTCGCAGGACGCTGGGACCTATCCTCGCACAGTTACCTCACGAAACAAGGCTTGATGTCAGTTTCATGACTCCAAATTTAATGCACTCTCTTTCTGAGCTCCCTTTCATCCACATTATCGTTCACTGTAAACAAACCATGTTGCTTAGTACATACACATTCTGTTGCATTCAAATCGTCGTTCGAGTATCAGAAGGTCCTAATGGTCCCGGCATTCATTTGATGTGGTCTTACTAGTAGCGTTTGGATTGTTGGAGAGCTCGGCTTCTCCCTGCCAATATGCCTTCTGTTGACTTATTTGCAATTTAAATCCTCTGACTCTGTTACCCGCATTCTTTGCAATGCATCCAAGGGAAATGTATACCATCACTAGAATTCGAGCGAGTGCAACCCTCACACCAACGGCAGCGTTCTCCAAGGTAACCCGAACAACGAAGTTCTTGCCGACCGCTGTCTCCTCTTTTGCGACCCGGTCAAACGCTCAAAGTATGAAGCATGCAGTGCTCAATGGTGAAGTAGTATTTCTGAAACTTGCTCGCGGGCAAGTCACCACATATACTACTATATAATGCATGCATCTGATTTCTTCCATCAAGCCAACTCAGCGATCACTGCCGCAGAGCACCACTGCGATCAAACCGGAATCGAAACTTCTTGAGTATTTCTCGCTTTTTCTGCAGCGATGATTCAAGACATGAACCGCCTTGAACATGCGATAACCTCGAGGCAAGAGTCATTGCATTGTTCGATGGAATATCTGACGCTGCCAGTGGCGCCTACATGCGCACACTGGCGCAAACTCATTGGCATACTACGGTAAATATATCCCAGCCGCAAATACTAATCGGCACTATTGAATTGGCACAGCACAGGCGGTTTTCTACGTCAGCAAGGCTGCACATTGGCAAGCGCAGCGGTGCAAGCGTCCCGTCGCTTAGGTCTCTAAAACGGTCTCACTAGATGTACGAACATGTTTATTGACGCTGGTGAACACGTTTTTTCCTGCACGCGCACCCCGTAATAACGTACTCGTGCACTAAGTGTTGGTCAATCGGTAGCGGGCTGTACTTGGACGAACTTCGTTATAAGACCCTGTGCAACTCAGATAAAATGGTCCCCATACCCTGGGGTGGTTCACATTCTCCTCTTTCATATCTCGCGATACCTCATGGATGTCCGTGAAAATTGTCTGGGTCGTGTCATAGGTTGCGAACTCCGCTGTATACCACCCAAATATGTAAGTCATTTAAAACTTGATATTTGTTCTCGTTCAAGTCTAATGGTTCCTCTCCACAGCTCAAATCGTGTTGGGGGCTGAAATGGTGCCCCAAATTTTATGCTCGAGGACCAAGCGAATTCGACGTTGGGGTTTTAACACCGGATGGAAAATACAACTCCCTAAAGACTGATGGTTCCTTGGCTGTGGAGTATAGAGCTCAGGATAGCATTGCGAATTTGAAACCATCTCCAAGCTTGCCCAGCACTATCTATGATACTGATGGTCAGCTAGGATCAAGGAGACGCGAACCGCCTTCTTCACCATCCTGGCATTTCAGTGTGCCCGCATCTCCTGCTTATATTATGCACGAGAGAACACAAGATCGACCTGATTTTATGCGTTATCCTGCCCATTCCTCAACGCCTCTGATTGCGCCGGGAGGGGCGGAGGGGTCTCGGCTACCCATACCTATCCCTGGACCAAGAACTACGGTGTCGTCGATCCAACCCTTCTCAGAGCCTTATACATCAGAGCTCTCGTATGCTCTACTTCCGGGACATTCGTCGCACCCATCGCAGAGCTGTGGTGCTCCAACAGTTGGGAAACCCCTGCATTTACACTATTTAAGCCCCAAAGTTACGCCTGCTGTATCGCAGGATCCAGCTGCCCTGCCGTATGGTGTAGCGCCAGAGACTCCAGAGCACCTGGTCTCAGATCCAGGAGACGCGCAGGAACAATATCTCCCCCTGGACAGCACCCATGCCCATTCCACACTACAGGTTCACCTCATGACTCCCACTATGCAAACTCCGCAAGCAACTCTGTTGGATTCATGGAACAACCTAGATTTCTCTCCTGCATCGACTCCTCCGATGTCATGTTCAACGTCGTTCAGCGCTGACTCTAGTTTGATTGGAGAGTTCGAACATCATCATGGTCCAGGAGTTGCGACTTCAATGTCGGAATTAATGGGAATGGACTGGGAAAATTCGACGCAATCCAACGACCAGTTGGAAGCAGGGGTGACGGACGAGGATTGGCAGCTGCATCGGACTTTCACGCGTTCCTCGCCGATGCATCAGTCGAGAGGGCTATCTCCTATTGATATGAGTGCGGATGAGCTGCCAGGCACCGATGATGGAGAGGAGACAGCGTACAATCTTTCCGACACCTTCCTCTTCTCCAGCGCCTTTCATGGTGCTTTCGCTTGCTGAAGGCCGCTGGGCAGCTACTCAGATAGGCTGCTGTCCATCACATTCATCTTTCTATTTCCGCTATTCCAAGTACCTGGCAAACATGATGCGCCCTCATGGTACTGCGCTATGTTGGCGTGTTGTTCGACAGGCATGGTTGGTTATGTCCGCCAGTTCACGAACACAGGCAAAGCGAAACAGAGCGCCCCTAGCTTCTGAGGACGATGGTGTTGCCAGAAGCGCGCAGGTGTATATTCATTTAATACATGAACATGATACCCATATGTTTTACTCGCATAATTGTCATATAAATGTTTGTTACTTCAGATCAACTTGGCATATATGGCGGGCGTTGTGATTCCATATTCAATATTTGACATGCGAGGTGTCACGCCACGCCACACACTGCAGGCTGCCCAGCCTTGCCTGGCGTCGAAATTTCAAATCCAGCATACCTAACTTCTAGCCACTTAAGGCTAGCAAACATTGTATTTACTACTTCCTTTCGGTTCATAAACCGACCATGTCCCACAAACTACCAGAGCAGTTGAGTGTCAATCCTGAACTACCTCCTCCAGCATATTCTGCCCATCCACATAACTTGGGACCGTCAGGGCAAGTGCAAGGACCAAGTTCTCCCGGGCCTCATGAACGGATTCCTGGAGCTTACCCTCACCGCGCCTCGTCTTTTTTCGGCTCAAACGCTACACCATCATTTATACCACCACCACATTTTGGGCCTACTCCTCTATTACACTCTGACCCTACCCTAGGGCTGCTACCATATTATGACCTGCGTTCTCCGTACGCTATTGCAGAAGCGACATCGCGCGCACGGTGGCGTTTCATTTGTGCTTCTCTGTGGGCGACCGGTATCGTCATGTGGTTGGTCGCGGCCGGTGCATTTGGAGGACTGCGAGATATATAGCCGCCTAGTGTGGCTTCTGTAGTAAGTGTGTGACTATCTTAATTGTTGTCTGCTAAATCACGGGAAATTCAGCTTTTTCATATGAATGAACAATATATATACGAAGCTTATTTTGGCCGGCACGCGTATATTTCTCCATGTATGACTCATGGTTCTGTCCATGTTTTACTGTCTTCTTTAGACAAAGGCTGATCATCATCCTCGTTTATAGATGCTCTATGTAAACATAATGTATTTCGTACAATACCCATGGCATTTTTACTGCATTTCTTCTCTTTGGGGACGACTCACTCGGTTCCCCGGAGCAATGCAGAATCCTGATTCCCTATGCTAACTTCTGTCAGTGCCCGAGCTTAGGGTTCAACTTGTGCGTGCGCACTGCGCAAGGTTGAACTTCAATTTCGGTGTCATCCTAGTGCGTCCGGCATCATCTTGCGAGACTAGGACCCAAACAGGACGGGACTCGTGGCAGGATGACCTAGATAATGCCAGTGGTCACTGGGGGGACAACATTTTTTCTGACCAGTGTTTACGGCAGCAAGTACCGATAAGCACTGTCAAGATAAATTGCATATTGTGCGTCGAGCCCGAGACACATAAAATGAACATATTATTGGACAATGTCTCAAACCCCAAAGATAGACGAAGATGAAATGTATGTGTGACTCTGATGCTCTTGTTTATATACTTGTCGATACAATATTTTCTGGGCATACAGCACAATATTGGCAGGTACAGAGCAAACGCCCGAAATTGCTCCGCTGAGCGCATGGTTACCAGCGCCAATAGACCTGAAGATGAACAGAATATCCGAATTTTATAATAATAGTTTACGAGGAAATAAAACTTAAAGAATTGTCACCGTGTCGACCACATCCGCATGCAGCTAGATTCAGTTTCGACCCTTTCGTCGGGGACTCCGTAGGGTGGTGTTACCAAACGACACCCACCTTTCAGCCAGACGACGACTTAATCAAGGGAATTACATCTTGTCCACGACTCGGACTTGCCTCAGCTTCAACAACCAACTTGAAGGTCAGCTCGACAATATTTACACAATGGTAGAGCTGATACATTGTCAACCATCCTTCAAAGCTTCATTCTCCTCTGCCTTCTCTCCCACTCATTCAAAAACCACTTATTGTGCGAGGAGATGGTCTGTGCGTTTGTTGAATGGAGGGTGTGTGCGTGTGAAAGAATTAAGGTTAGGGTCTGTGCGTGGGAGAATGTGTGACTTTCGTGACCCAGATAATTGGTGGTGTTAATTTTTTTCGGTTTTGAATTCTGGGTCGGCCCCGCGCGCTTCCTTTTGTTCCTTCACACTTTGACAACCTCGATCGCACCTTCCACGTCGATAACCACAGCGACAAGACACTCTTCCTCACCGTCCACGGCGACGACCTAATCACACCGCTCGTCGTCTGCCACCTTTTCGTGCGCTTCATTTGCTGTCACTTCGTTGCCCGCTCAGTGTTGACCTCTCTTATTTATCTACTCCCACGCGCCGCGCACGTCGACCGCTATTGCTCATCGCTGTCACACTCATCGCCGACGTCATCTACCCTATCTCTATCATTCGCAATCGCTCATAGCCCATAAACACACCTCTTTGTCAATTTGTTTTTCGATTGTAGCCATATCAGCAATCACTGTCTCGCGCTACCTCCCACGATCGTCCGTACCACATTCATAACATTATACGGCTGTTGATGTCCAATTTCTAGTCTCAGCCATCCCACATACTTGTCTGTAATCACCCCGCGCACCATCCTACCAATCTGGCGTCCATAGTTCCCACTCCTCCGCCCATCCAAAGGCTCGAAGAGGACCTCATTAATCGTTCATTGCTCGACTCTCTCGAAGCCCAAGGAGACGCAGAACCCATTCATCCATCTCCGCAACCTGTCATGTCTCACTCAAACTCCAACTCTGGTTCAGGAGTACCATCTCCTGAAGCGCAGTTCCATATGCCACCTGTGAATAGGCCTGATTCCCCCAGCAATATCGATTTCAATGCCAACCACGAGAATGATCGTTTGCTCCGCACTTCCCTTCTTCAGCAACACATTGATGATAATCATCATCGAAATTCGGAGTCACTATTCTCTCACGGTGGAGTTCAATCCATGTATAACACATCCAATAATTTCCATCTCCCGGACTACCTCTCAGATGACATCTCCCTCAAGCAGAGTATTGCCGGGAGTAAGTCTCCAAACGACTTTGGCGCTGGGTCGTTAAGGTCGTCTTTGAGCGCTTATAACGGAATCAGTGGTGGCAATGCTTCCAGTGCTGGTGCCACCGGCTCATATCGCTTGCGTCAACCAGACGGTCTCCCCTCACAACCTTATTCAAACACAAACGAAATATTTGGGTCTCATCAGCCCTTAAATTTGCAACACCAACTCTCTCAGCAATCTCAGCAGAGTACGTCCAGGTCTGCCGCATTCGAGTCACGTAGCGGGTATGACTTCGGAACCAGCTCTCCGCTAGGAGGTAGTAAGGTTCCTCAGCAATTCTCTTCCTTGGACCCCTTCCTCCAAGCGCACTCCTCTAAGGGCCAACAACAGTCACAGGTCCATGACGCTTATCATCCACTGTCGCACAGTAACTCTGGTTCCCAGATACCTTACCTGAATGGCATGCACCTTCAAAGCCAGACGCCTTATGGTCCTCACTTACAGTCTAACGGCGGCGTTGCAGCAGTATCAGCAGGCAATGCAAGGCCCATCGGTAGTGTAGGGCAGATGAATTTGAGCGTCGAATCGCAGAGTGTCAATAGTGGACTACCAGAAGAGATTTCGACCATTTTTGTGGTTGGATTTCCTGACGACATGCAGGTCTGTACTGAGTCATTTATGACGCCCCGCAACTTCTGACAGCTAGTGTGTAGGAGCGTGAATTCCAGAACATGTTTACGTTCTCCTCCGGCTTTGAAGCTGCCACCCTTAAGATCCCAAACAAGGAATATACGGCATACGGGTCGGTCGGTGGTACGACTTCGACCACTCCATCTGGTCTTCCTCTCCGTGGAGGTGCCTATGCCGGTTATCTAGGCGCTGGTTCCAATGATCCTTACAATGTTGTCACCGTTAATCAAGGAGGGGTTGTGATTGACAATGGACGAGATGGCCCAACGACCTCCTGGCCACCCCTCGCCATGGCACTAGACGAGCCTTCGCACTTCCAAGTGGGACAAGGGCTAGGTGGCCAGCCACCCCGAAAGCAGATCATAGGTTTTGCCAAGTTTCGTACTCGTCAGGAGGCGCTTGAGGCAAGAGACCTACTTCAGGGCCGCCGCGTCGACATCGAGAAAGGCGCAATACTGAAGGCAGAAATGGCGAAGAAGAATTTGCACACCAAGCGAGGCGTTGGCATGGGTGCCACGACATCCGGAGGTGGCGGAAGCGTTTCTCTTGGTAATGGCATGGGGACTATCGGAGGGTTGAGTGCAAGCGGAGGTATAGGCTCGCTTAGTGGTCTTGGAAGCAATGCCGATATCATTGCTAATCTCGCCAACAATCTCAATTTGAACAACCTGGCTACACTTACCAGCAACAACTCTGAAATCCTCTCCCCGCGCGAGAGGGAGTTAAACTCGGTGGGGCTGGGCGGGTCTGGCTGGCGTGAGGGAAGGCTCGGGGATAGCAGTGAGGATGAGCGCGAGAACAGCATCCGTGACAGGCGAAGGGAGGCGCTTGGCCTTGGACTTGGTTTGATGCGCGGTGCTCGTGAACGCGCTCAAGCTGATGAAGAAGAGAGGGTCAGGCGCAGCAATGACCTCAAGCAGTTCCAGACTGACGCTTCTCGAATGTTGCCTGGAAATACTCCCGCTTTTGAACCTTTCCATTCGGTCTCCGCCCCCACTTTATCCCGTCATCCTCAGAGTGGTCTCCTTTCCCCTACAGGTGGGTCGATGTCCATTTCTGGGCTAACAGAAGGTGGAAGCAGCGGTCACAGCCCACTTATGGGAAATGGATATGGTAATATTATCGCTCAAACCGGCCGGGATGGCTCCAGCAATGTAACTCCTGATCACAATGGTCTTCGCGAGTCCCGAAGTATCGGACCTTGGGATGCGCCTTCTCCGCGT